ATAACACAATGTATTCGGGCCAAAATGGGCATTTTTTCGCTCCGACATATAACATATTAAAATTTATTTCGTCGATTGTGTTCAAAGCGTTTGCACGAAGAAATTCCGAATCGCAATCGATAATTCGGAGCCGACCGTAAAACGCGCGGTGGGAGCGGCGCTTCTCTTACGAGCGTAGTGCACGCGTACGTTGCATTATGCGAATCCTCGGAATTGCGAGGAAGAGCTCTGCATCGTGCCTCCTCCGCCTCTCCTCCACCGTCTATGCGGCATCGTCAAGGATTCTCTCGGCGTTTCGAGAGCGCCGGGAAGGGACTTCTCTCGCGGTCCCCAGGTCGTTCCGTTTATCTCGAGCACCGTCGTTTCGCGATGAATAAACAGCAGTCGGGCTTCTTCGAAACAATTTAATCTACATAAGCTAACAGCTACCTGTCTCTGCTAGCATCGCCGGTAGGGAGATTCGAGCCACTCGGTGGAACCGACGTACCGGATGCAAGCGAAGCGGCGGCTTGTCTCTCGCTCGTCTCGCTCGTATACACTCTTGAACGAGATCAGCGTTTGTCCCTCGCGAGTTAGCACGGACCGAGAAAATCAGGTCGAGGAAGGGAACAACAGGAACTGAAAGGACAAGACGACGACGAGGGAAGAGTGCGGGAAAAGATGCCGGGATAGCACCTAGAATCCAGAACTGCCGGCGGAGGAAAACGGAAGGAACGATGGACGAGGTTGGGAAGGGGGTAGGAGAGGAGGTCGGTCGATGGCTTCAAGAATCTACGGGGCCACAAATAAGAGATAAAGCTGGCCTGGCACCTCGTATCTACGATCTAGTCTCCGCATCACTCTTGGGTAGAGAGAAAGGGGAGTGAAGAGGAGGAGATTCTCCTCTGCAGGAGAATCCACCATAGATTGAATTATCGTCCCCGATCGATTCCGAATTTAGCCCTGCCGCTTCTTTGTACCGTTGTTTCCGTTAAGATTGAAATAGACAGCGTAAAGATGGATGTTACGCAATTAACTACGATGGTTTATTATTAAAACCGTGATACGCGCGTGTACCCGCATGATTTTGAAAGATCCGAGCCGGTGCGACGAATTGATTTGTGAGAACGTCGGAGATTTTTCCCCCGATTTCTCAAGCTTGTTTGTTTTTAGAAGGAAGGCTGGCTGGCCAGCCTATGATAAGCACGATGATTTCAAGGAAGTAAGAGACTTTATCCTGCGGAGGTGGAAACTATCTTGCGTCAATATTGACGATATGTTGGCGCATTCGCTTTGTCAGCCGGAGACCGAGAATTGCTTTTCTAACCAGCTCGTTTTCCGTTGTTACCATCAAAAGCATTGCACAGCGTCGAGGACACGCTTATCGCTTCGGTGTAATGCACACTCATGTAGAAACAATTATATCTTAACTTAATATACGGAATACTTTTAAATTCGATTAATTTTTATTTGGATTCATTAACGATGACTTATAATTACGCCTCGAAAATATTTTTTTTTAATGTCAAAAGACGTATTGGATGTACTTACTCTTCTCTTTTAAAATAAATAAATAAATACTACAAAATGTCACGTAAATTCTTGATTTCATTTCTTAATAATTATATCGAAGCTATCCAAAATAAGATAACGTATCTCATGCAGATAACTGCATTGCGATTAACGTTTATTTTATAAAATGAAGCGGTTTTGTCGTCTCTTTTCTTCTTTCAGTCTTCGTGGTGGCACGGTAAGTCAGCGCAAGTCTTTAATTAGCGGACTATTTAGCTTTTATCTTATCGTACCGAGACAAGATCGGATGACTTACGCGCGTCCACGTATAACTTTCTATCCGAACGTCACGACGGAGGGTGGTGCGGGACTTTGATTTTAAATTACTCGGGGAAAAGGGACGCAAAGAAGAAGAAGAAGGAAGAGGAGAATGCGGCAAGAGATATCGAATGATACATGCAACCGAGCACTTACCTCAACATCCCCGGCGGATTTGCGAGAAGCATCATCCTGATAAAAATGCACAATTGCTCGCGCGCCAGCCCGTGAAAGGTACGACCACCGGTACTCGTGCATATATTTCGCATTATCGAATCTTCCGCTCCGGTTATAAAACGATCGATGTTAATTCGGAATTTTCTCTACGATGCGCTAAATGTTTCCCTGAAAAACACAGGTTACTGTGTTACACATTACCCATCTCATTTCACGCTTCGACCGCACTTCCGCACGTGCGACAACGATACGGCCGAAGAAAAAGAAAAGTGATCTCTGTATCAAAGATAAACATAAGTGAAGTGCGAGTAGAAAGTGACTCATTGCCGAACGAGTTTTACAAGTGATACCTTCGATAAGACAGTTAATCGAGTTAGGTAATATCCAATCTCGGCGAAATTAATCGCGTCGAAATCGATAAATGTCAGGCAAACTAAAGCGAAATATATGTTCCACGTATGAATGAGACATATACTGATCGCTTTGTTCAATCCACCTTTTATAGGTACCCCGCCTCCCAGCGACGAGATAAACTTTTTCTTGTGAGTCAATATTTGCTAAATCGCTCGTTTCAGATATGTCAGCCCCACCTGTACGTTACTGCAGAGCATATGACTTCGATGAAATTGATAGTATGCAGCTGTATTTTCTTTTCTGTTTATACCACAGTACGTTCGACGGTTTTTATTCATGAATTGTATTCTGCGGCAAAGTGTTGGGGATAGAAATTTTATAACATTTTCCTGTTACGTTATCTTGGACAAGCCATTTCGGATCGAAACACGTGTAAGTGATTTTATCTTTTATTTCTTTTACGCTTGTATCACTACTATATATCTGCATGTCGTTATTAATCATAATCGTTATTGAGTTCATAACAAGAAAATATTCGTTCTTGAAATATGTTTTCAATTAAATACCAACTTTATCGCTTTTTCTGCAGTCTCTGTATATTCATGTGTTGCCCAAATTATTCTATAATTAATTTTACTTTTTAATACACATATAAAAATATAAAAATAATATTAAATAAGCAATGCAAAATTATAATTAAATAAGCATTGTAAAATTAGATAATAAAATTAAATATAAACTACATTTATGTTTAATGTAATGTTGAGGTAAATGTAGCGCATAAAGAAATGCAATTTATTTCAAAAGTCTTTTAAAATATCGGCAGTTATTACCTCATTTTGTGGATCACTTGACGAACAAATTTGGGTTAATAGCAGGCTCGGCGCGATAATATTCATTTAATGCAATTTAAGTAATTGCTGTCCCATTAAGACGACAGTCTTGCAATCGTTCCGCAAGCACGCGAGGAACTGTCTCGGTACGATAAAACTGCATCAATTTTATCTCCCGATATTTATCGTGGAAGCCACAAACAACTGCGCAACATATTATAGTATTGGGCTGTTATTTTCAGCCATCGAATAATAAAATGAGAAATTTTTATAATATACGCGATAACATCCGCAACAATAGTGATATGCAAATAGAATTCTAATTTGCATGACAGATTGCGAGTACAAAACGATATGGTAATAGGCTAAATTTCTAATTACTAGAGACGGTCATAATAAATTCGAAAATTCACAGTATTCCAGGCAACCACCAGGCAATTAGGCTCGGCTAATGGACTCTAAACTGTCAGTTATGAGTTTCTAGCTTCATGAATGCACGAAATGGTATCACGTATACTTCCTAGCGGATAATGATCCCTGTAGATTTGCGCAATTGCAACAAATAATCGTTATCCAACAACATTGGCTACATAGCAGATAACGTTAATGGCACATATATTATTCAGCAAACGTTTATCCTCGACGATGAAGATTACGCGCGTTTACAGAAACCGGTGTGTGCAACCAATTTAAAAAAAAAAAAAAAACGATTCTCCTTTTGTACGTTTTTGTTAGATAAAATTAATAAGCAAGCGAGTGTTTTTTCTCTCCTTTCCAATAACTTTTACTGCTCGTATTTTCGTTACCGCTGTAACTGATACTTTGCCGTATTCCTCGCTGTATTCCGATATCGGTATCTATAACGCCGCTAATTACTGACTGATTTAATTTCACTAGTAATGCATGCAAGTTAATATGAACAACATATGAGCGAGCCAACAAGGGTGTATTCGTCGGATCTCTACTAACATACAACCGTGTCGGTTAACGTTAATATACTTATCCTTCCGCATTGAATCACACGTAAAACTTTGCCGCGATCGTGGCAGCAAATATGACACCGGCGAATAAGTTCCTAATTTGTTCATAATTACTCGCTCTAAAGCTTCTACATAAATACGGCACCATTTAACGAAGAATCCTTTCCGGATGCTGGAATAAGTATGTGTATCTCATATCGTGAGCAAGCACAAGCATTACTATTTGTCCCATATAATTTCACATGCAACGGCTACAAAGGAGAAGATACGACGAACGTTAACATATCCAGCTGCGCGCGTTAGTATACGCTATGATAATTAACATACTGCCATTATCACCTGTGCATCTGAAAATGATGAAGCAAATTAGTTAAGCCCGACCGCCGTTTTCGGACAAACTCTCGGTCGCGATATTATGGCAATCGTGGTCACTGTCATTAAAGATATTGCGACATGAAACACACTTTAACTCAAAAGTAGTAAACCCTCTCTCTTCGAGAGAAAATATAATAGCACGAATGCTAAGTTGCAGTCAGCTGCCTAATATGATTGACTTTACCGTTGATCTTTTGTGTATTTTGTATCTTTTTATAATAATCTTTATATAAAGAAACACCATGTATACATAAAAAAAAATTGAAAAATAAATAATATCTTTTTATATATAAATTCATATAAGTCATGCACAATTATGTTGTGTGTTTGTCTTATAACCCATAGTAAAATTTTTAAGATTAATATATAAAAAATAAGAAAAAGATACTAAACACAATTCTCCAGTTTGAAATATGATAGAGAATTATAATACGATTTCCGTAATGTAATATGATATATGTGTGTATATATATATATATATTTGTCAGATACCGCGTGACGCAGTTTTCTCGCCGCGCATCCTTCTCGTGCACCAGCTGAATTCGTCGCGTATGCAAAACGCACTACGAGATACGAATCTCAGAGAGCGAATGATAAAAACTTGTTGATGCATTATGGATACTGCACGCTAGATTGCTTTGCGCAAAAACCAAGCTGACCTTAGATTGTCGATCGTTCTTGGTAATACGTACATGTTAAGTAGCGAAGAATAAATTCTTTTGAAAAATAATTCTCTCAGAATGAAGAACATATATGCCACTATCGTGACATTGAATAAGAAGCGGAGAATATTTTCCGCATCTGTATACACGTGTGTAATATTTTTTTTCTTCTCACTTTTAAATCGCCTTTTCTAATTAGATAAATCCGTTAAGTTTTATGTCATGATCGTGGATGAAACGATCGGCATCCTTAACATAGCATGTATATTCATAACGCTTTTCAAAAACTATCCGCAGAGATCGCCGCTTCAAGAAGTAAAACGGCGAAGGAACGCTGAACTTTGCTCTTTACCGTACGAACCGTACGCTGTCGCTTGGCGAGACATTATTACGATCATTACTACTTGTCGTGTTTCCCCTCTCGCAACGCGCACGAGGTCGCGTTGAATTCGAATTCCGGTGAGAAACCTCCGTAACTCTCGTGTACGCCTCGTCGCATTTGCATATGTAAAACGCCTCGTGCGAGATGCGCGGATAATATCGGTTATCAATCTCGATTAGGTATAAATTAAATCGCGCGCAAAAATATGTCGAGCAAAACACGCGAGAATAAAAGACGAATGGGATGGTTTGCTCGAGCGGATAAAACGCTTTCGCATCTCGCTGCGATTTCGTCTGGGCGCGAAACCAGCCGGTGTCGAGACTCCACCAACAGGTCCGGGGAACCAACTCGCCGGACTAGTTAATAAATTATCGTAGTATCCGCCATCTTCATCCGCGTACAGACTCGCGTCGCCGGCAAAATAAAAGCTCGCGGAAAGTATAAGAAGGAAAAAAAGGAGAGATAAATATCTCGCGTCGTCGAGATGTTTTTCTCCAACTTGCGTTTTAACGAATCCTGAACGCGGGGAGTCGCGTCGTTGCGGATTGGCCTGTCCGTTAATGGAGTCGTTGCGTATTGCCGTAGCCGGACTCTGTCGTATTCTAAGCCATAATGGCCGACGATAAAATCTGCCTATATATTCCTGCGCGCTCGACCGACCTTAATTAACGCCGCCGGTTCTCGCGTCTTCTTGTCGATCCATGAACGTTTCACGCAGACGAAATCTCGTCCAATTCTCGGAAGATCGTACATCTAAAGAGAGAGAGAGAGAAAAAGATATAAAAAGAGAGACAAATTCGAGTGGCCTTGGTGGCCTTCGACCTTGGCGCTTCGATCCATTTCCGATCAGCAGTTGATCGGAAATATAGACCCTAATAAATGGAACAGATGCGCGGCGCGTCTGAGAAGCGTTTTTAGAACAATGTTCATTAATGTTGCCCGGCAAGTTTAAGAAGATAATTAACTTGGAATCTTGATCAAATTTTCTCGCTTAAAATGCCCTATTGTATGAATAATGCCTACATTTTCTGAGAAAATGTCACTATTTTATTTTACGCATTCTTGCCGTCAAATAAATAATATAAATTAAGCGCAGAAAGAGAGTGAGAAAGAGAGAGAATAAAATCTCCCCTAAATATCACAATTTTCAAGTAAATGCAATTATGATTTATATACGACGTGGCTGTCTCAAAGTATGAAATTATGATATTGAGTTTAACTGACGAGAGTTCCACGATATCGGACTACTCGTATCGATAGATTGGTCTAATCACGGATTTAGTGTATCCGAGGACTTTTTGTAAAAATAAAGACATATAAAAATATACATACACATTATATAGTATTTTCTCAGTCACCGGGTATAAAGACGTGGGTGTGCACCGATTCGCCAAAAAGGCGACGAACGGAATCCGAGCCGGCGCCGAAAACGCATGCCGTACCTGCGTACTTCCTCCTGCGAGGAAGGTCGCGCTTATTTGCGCGGGACTGCCTTAACCATAAATGGGGCGCAGCCTCCGGGCAGTAGCTTTTTTACGATCATGCCGGATCGCCGCTGTTGAATATTACATCGAATCTGTAAACGATATATTAAACAATTTTAACAATCAGTATTTAGTATTTTTGAAAAATCCACGAATATCATTGATATTCGTTCGAGTAAGACTCGACGTATAATAAAGAAAATATTAGGAATAGGAATAAATATTAGATATTAGGAAGAGCAATTTGGAATTATTTTACTTCAATTATTCCCAATTTTTAATTCATTATGCGTTAAATTTTACTAATGCTGCGCTTACTCTATTAGCGAAACAATGATGATAATTGAGAAGCGAGTCCCATAAATCTCGAACTTCATAAGATTCGTTCAAATGAGCATTATTTAAAGCCGTATCTGTGTATAAATTATCTGGCGCCATATTTCCAAATTACGATGCCCGTAATTTACAGGGTCCCGGCGCTCTTTAATCGCGCGTGTCGTACACACACACGGTCTCGTCTAACATAAGGTTGAACCTTACAAATTACGGACTTGCTCCTCTCTCTCTCTCTCTCTCTCTTTCGTGAATTCCGAAAGTACGCGTGCACCGTGAATGTCACAAGCGTGTGCATTAAACTATACCGTGGTTTCGGGCAGGAGAGGCGTTCTTTCGCGTTAGTTCGTGCGACCTTCATCGGACCTCGTCGATGAGAGATATGCCACGCGAGTGAGAACGCAGCGTGGATCTACAGGGTGGCGAATAAAAAAAGCCGGCCCCGTTAATTATCTCGCGAGGTAAAGACCAAAGTCACGGCGACGTTCGAGAAAAGGAAACCCTGATTGATATCGGAGGAAATTGGAACGAGATGAAGAATCCTTCTTTTCTATCTTATGCCTCGCTACGAAGGGAGAATTGATAATAAAAATTTTATTTTTTAGGAACACACGCAAAAAAGAGAGAAAAACAAAACGCGTGCGTACGTAGATCATATATTGTACGAATTTATCAAATGTAAATTATCGTTACTAATAAATTATATTGAATAAGACGTGGTTATCAAATTTTTTAAGAGATTAACGGAGCGTATAACGATCTTGAAATTATAAATTAATATGATATATTTAAAAATATAACAATATAACAGAAAGCTTATTCAATTTAAATGAGAATATAGAAATACACTCTTCAGAACAATATGCAATAAACCGATAACATTTTCATATTACATTACATTTAACATACAAGTATAGTTCACAAAATTAATATTAATATTTTATATCTTGAAATTATAAATTAATATGATATATTTAAGTTTTAAAAAATATAACAGAAAGCTTATTCAATTTAAATGAGAATATAGAAATACACTCTTCAGAACAATATGCAATAAACCGATAACACGAGTATATTTTCATATTTCAATATTTAATGAAAACAACAATGTGTCGATAAGTGTTGATTCTAAGAAAAAAAAAGACTAAAACGTATGCAGTAAGTATTGGTTTTGACTTGTAGATTCGGCTGTAATAATAAAAGAACGGTAAAATGAGGTATCTAGAATAAAACACATTTGCAGCAGTTGAAACGCATGTGACGACGAAGCACGAGGAAATTCGCATCCTGAGTCATATGCGCAATGAAAAATGTTTATTATTACAATTATTGTACGACGTATATAACCGTCGACTTGCTAGTATTCAATATCAGTTACCAAAGCTTCAGCAAAATGAAACTTGCTGTAGGCTTTATTATAGCCTGTTTATCCTTAACATACGCATTTGTCGATAATGACATAGCATTAGCTAATGCGCAAGCTAACGCCGAAGCAAATGCAAAATCATCCGCGCAAAGTGAAACAAGCGCTAGTGCTCCAGCTCTAAGTCATACATACGAAAAAGATGTATTTTCTGCTGCACAAGCAACAGCCAATGCAAACGCTACAAGCGCAGGAAATGCGTTAGCTGATGCACAAACAGCAGCTAGTGCGAATGCCATATCTCGTAGAGAAAAGACGTTAGCTAATACACAAGATCTTGAAATTATAAATTAATATGATATATTTAAGTTTTAAAAAATATAACAGAAAGCTTATTCAATTTAAATGAGAATATAGAAATACACTCTTCAGAACAATATGCAATAAACCGATAACACGAGTATATTTTCATATTTCAATATTTAATGAAAACAACAATGTGTCGATAAGTGTTGATTCTAAGAAAAAAAAAGACTAAAACGTATGCAGTAAGTATTGGTTTTGACTTGTAGATTCGGCTGTAATAATAAAAGAACGGTAAAATGAGGTATCTAGAATAAAACACATTTGCAGCAGTTGAAACGCATGTGACGACGAAGCACGAGGAAATTCGCATCCTGAGTCATATGCGCAATGAAAAATGTTTATTATTACAATTATTGTACGACGTATATAACCGTCGACTTGCTAGTATTCAATATCAGTTACCAAAGCTTCAGCAAAATGAAACTTGCTGTAGGCTTTATTATAGCCTGTTTATCCTTAACATACGCATTTGTCGATAATGACATAGCATTAGCTAATGCGCAAGCTAACGCCGAAGCAAATGCAAAATCATCCGCGCAAAGTGAAACAAGCGCTAGTGCTCCAGCTCTAAGTCATACATACGAAAAAGATGTATTTTCTGCTGCACAAGCAACAGCCAATGCAGACGCTACAAGCGCAGGAAATGCGTTAGCTGATGCACAAACAGCAGCTAGTGCGAATGCCATATCTCGTAGAGAAAAGACGTTAGCTAATACACAAGCAGCAACTACTGCAAACGCCGCAAGCTCATCTCGTAGAGGAAATGCATTAGCTAATGCAGAAGCAGCAGCCAGTGCAAACGCCGCAAGTTCGTCTCGTGGAAGAAATGCATTAGCTAATGCACAAGCAGCAGCCAGTGCAAACACCGCAAGTTCATCGCGTGGAGGAAAAGCGTTATCCAATGCAGAAGCAGCAGCCAGTGCAAATGCCGTAAGTTCATCTCGTGAAAGAAATTCGTTAGCTAATGCACAAGCAGCAGCCAGTGCAAATGCCGCAAGTTTATCTCGTGGAAAAAATTCGTTAGCTAATGCACAAGCAGTAGCCAGTGCAAATGCCGCAAGTTCATCGCGTGGAGGAAATTCGTTAGCTAATGCACAAGCAGCAGCCAGTGCAAATGCCGCAAGTTTATCTCGTGGAAAAAATTCGTTAGCTAATGCACAAGCAGTAGCCAGTGCAAATGCCGCAAGTTCATCGCGTGGAGGAAATTCGTTAGCTAATGCACAAGCAGCAGCCAGTGCAAATGCCGCAAGTTTATCTCGTGGAAAAAATTCGTTAGCTAATGCACAAGCAGTAGCCAGTGCAAATGCCGCAAGTTCATCGCGTGGAGGAAATTCGTTAGCTAATGCACAAGCAGCAGCCAGTGCAAATGCCGCAAGTTTATCTCGTGGAAAAAATTCGTTAGCTAATGCACAAGCAGTAGCCAGTGCAAATGCCGCAAGTTCATCGCGTGGAGGAAATTCGTTAGCTAATGCACAAGCAGCAGCCAGTGCAAATGCCGCAAGTTTATCTCGTGGAAAAAATTCGTTAGCTAATGCACAAGCAGTAGCCAGTGCAAATGCCGCAAGTTCATCGCGTGGAGGAAATTCGTTAGCTAATGCACAAGCAGCAGCCAGTGCAAATGCCGCAAGTTTATCTCGTGGAAAAAATTCGTTAGCTAATGCACAAGCAGTAGCCAGTGCAAATGCCGCAAGTTCATCGCGTGGAGGAAATTCGTTAGCTAATGCACAAGCAGCAGCCAGTGCAAATGCCGCAAGTTTATCTCGTGGAAAAAATTCGTTAGCTAATGCACAAGCAGTAGCCAGTGCAAATGCCGCAAGTTCATCGCGTGGAGGAAATTCGTTAGCTAATGCACAAGCAGCAGCCAGTGCAAATGCCGCAAGTTTATCTCGTGGAAAAAATTCGTTAGCTAATGCACAAGCAGTAGCCAGTGCAAATGCCGCAAGTTCATCGCGTGGAGGAAATTCGTTAGCTAATGCACAAGCAGCAGCCAGTGCAAATGCCGCAAGTTTATCTCGTGGAAAAAATTCGTTAGCTAATGCACAAGCAGTAGCCAGTGCAAATGCCGCAAGTTCATCGCGTGGAGGAAATTCGTTAGCTAATGCACAAGCAGCAGCCAGTGCAAATGCCGCAAGTTTATCTCGTGGAAAAAATTCGTTAGCTAATGCACAAGCAGTAGCCAGTGCAAATGCCGCAAGTTCATCGCGTGGAGGAAATTCGTTAGCTAATGCACAAGCAGCAGCCAGTGCAAATGCCGCAAGTTTATCTCGTGGAAAAAATTCGTTAGCTAATGCACAAGCAGTAGCCAGTGCAAATGCCGCAAGTTCATCGCGTGGAGGAAATTCGTTAGCTAATGCACAAGCAGCAGCCAGTGCAAATGCCGCAAGTTTATCTCGTGGAAGAAATTCGTTAGCTAATGCACAAGCAGTAGCCAGTGCAAATGCCGCAAGTTCATCGCGTGGAGGAAATTCGTTAGCTAATGCACAAGCAGCAGCCAGTGCAAATGCCGCAAGTTTATCTCGTGGAAGAAATTCGTTAGCTAATGCACAAGCAGTAGCCAGTGCAAATGCCGCAAGTTCATCGCGTGGAGGAAATTCGTTAGCTAATGCACAAGCAGCAGCCAGTGCAAATGCCGCAAGTTTATCTCGTGGAAGAAATTCGTTAGCTAATGCACAAGCAGTAGCCAGTGCAAATGCCGCAAGTTCATCGCGTGGAGGAAATTCGTTAGCTAATGCACAAGCAGCAGCCAGTGCAAATGCCGCAAGTTTATCTCGTGGAAGAAATTCGTTAGCTAATGCACAAGCAGTAGCCAGTGCAAATGCCGCAAGTTCATCGCGTGGAGGAAATTCGTTAGCTAATGCACAAGCAGCAGCCAGTGCAAATGCCGCAAGTTTATCTCGTGGAAGAAATTCGTTAGCTAATGCACAAGCAGTAGCCAGTGCAAATGCCGCAAGTTCATCGCGTGGAGGAAATTCGTTAGCTAATGCACAAGCAGCAGCCAGTGCAAATGCCGCAAGTTTATCTCGTGGAAGAAATTCGTTAGCTAATGCACAAGCAGTAGCCAGTGCAAATGCCGCAAGTTCATCGCGTGGAGGAAATTCGTTAGCTAATGCACAAGCAGCAGCCAGTGCAAATGCCGCAAGTTTATCTCGTGGAAGAAATTCGTTAGCTAATGCACAAGCAGTAGCCAGTGCAAATGCCGCAAGTTCATCGCGTGGAGGAAATTCGTTAGCTAATGCACAAGCAGCAGCCAGTGCAAATGCCGCAAGTTTATCTCGTGGAAGAAATTCGTTAGCTAATGCACAAGCAGTAGCCAGTGCAAATGCCGCAAGTTCATCGCGTGGAGGAAATTCGTTAGCTAATGCACAAGCAGCAGCCAGTGCAAATGCCGCAAGTTTATCTCGTGGAAGAAATTCGTTAGCTAATGCACAAGCAGTAGCCAGTGCAAATGCCGCAAGTTCATCGCGTGGAGGAAATTCGTTAGCTAATGCACAAGCAGCAGCCAGTGCAAATGCCGCAAGTTTATCTCGTGGAAGAAATTCGTTAGCTAATGCACAAGCAGTAGCCAGTGCAAATGCCGCAAGTTCATCGCGTGGAGGAAATTCGTTAGCTAATGCACAAGCAGCAGCCAGTGCAAATGCCGCAAGTTTATCTCGTGGAAGAAATTCGTTAGCTAATGCACAAGCAGTAGCCAGTGCAAATGCCGCAAGTTCATCGCGTGGAGGAAATTCGTTAGCTAATGCACAAGCAGCAGCCAGTGCAAATGCCGCAAGTTTATCTCGTGGAAGAAATTCGTTAGCTAATGCACAAGCAGTAGCCAGTGCAAATGCCGCAAGTTCATCGCGTGGAGGAAATTCGTTAGCTAATGCACAAGCAGCAGCCAGTGCAAATGCCGCAAGTTTATCTCGTGGAGGAAATTCGTTAGCTAATGCACGAGCAGCAGCTAGTGCGAATACTGCTAGTTCATCGCGAGCAGCAGCTATCGCCAATGCAATAAGCACCGCACGTGGAAGAAGCGGAACATCTGCCGAATCTAATGCACGAGCAGCAGCTAGTGCGAATGCTGCAAGCTCATCTCGTGGAGAAAATGCATTAGCTAATGCAGAAGCAGCAGCCAGTGCAAATGCCGCAAGTTCATCGCGTGGAGGAAAAGGGTTATCCAACGCACAAGTCGCAGTTAGTGCGAATGCAATAAGCGCCACACGTGGAAGAGGCGGAACATCTGCCGAATCTATTGCACGAGCAGCAGCCAGTGCAAATGCCGCAAGTTCATCTCGTGGAGGAAATTCGTTAGCTAATGCACAAGCAGCAGCCAGTGCAAACGCCGCAAGTTCATCGCGTGGAGGAAAAGCGTTATCTAACGCACAAGTAGCGGCTATCGTCAATGCAATAAGAGCCGCACGTAGAAGAGGCGATACATCTGCTGAATCTAATGCACAAGCAGCAGCTAGAGCGAATGCTGCAAGTACTTCTCGTGGAGAAAATGCGTTAGCTATTGCGCGGGCAGCAGCCAGCGCAAACGCTGCAAGCGCATCTCGTGAAAGAAGTGCGTTAGCTGATGCACGTGCAACAGCAGGCGCAAATGCTGCAACTGCATCTCGTAGAGAAAATGCGGAAACTATTGCAGCCGCGGAAGCAACAGCTAGTGCAAGAGCTGCAAATAAAGCACGGAATAGCCATCGCGACATTGAAAACAGTAAAAATGATGTTCACATTCACAAATGCGGCAAGGATCATAGTATGGAAATACATAAATGGCGTGATCATAATGGAGGAGTACATGTTATAAGCTCTTCACGTTCTGAAGGTAAGGCCGGAGCAAATAGTGCCGCTTCTGCACAAGCGGTAAGTAGTAGTAAAACAATCGGGCCAGATTGGGGCAAACAACTTGAAAGATTTAAAGTAATTGACATTTTAGATTTTTATAATAAAGGTAGAAATGAAAGAAAATCTGAATATGAGCAAACAATAGCTCAAAGTTTGGCTAACGCAAGAGCTACAAGTGAAACATATGGAAAGAATGACGCTGCTGCATCTGCACAAGCTGCTGCTAGTGCCAATGCTGCCAGTAGCGCATATGGAAGCAAATATGGAAGCGCAGTAGCCACTGCCAACAGTCAAGCGAGCGCAACTGCATTAAGCCATAGAAGACATTACAAGAATCATAACAAGAACTGGAAATATCACGGTCATCATAGAAGCTACGAAAATCTGCATGATTCTTCAGAGGAAAAGCTATGGCCGAAACATGATGAATCTTTTAATGTAATTTACCGAAGAAGGAGAGCAATCAGTGATGCAGCAGCTTTAGGTCAAAGCGGCGCTATTGCTACGAGTAATAAACGTAAAGGAATTTCTATTGCCAAAAGTAACAGCGCATCCAACGCTGCTGCTGCTGCTCTGAACAATGTACGTGAAGGAACTTCTATTGTCAAAAGTAGTAGCGCATCCAACGCTGCTGCTGATACTCTAAGCAATGGACGAAAAGGAATCGCTAATGCTGCAGCAAACAGTGCATCTAATGCTGTTGGTTTAACTCATAATCTAAAAGGAGCTGATACTGTAGTTAAAAAGCTATGGCGAAGAAGGAGAGCAATCAGTGATGCAGCGGCTTCAGGTCAAAGCGGCGCTATTGCTACGAGTAATAAACATAAAGGAATTTCTATTGCCAAAAGTAACAGCGCATCCAACGCTGCTGCTGCTGCTCTGAACGATGCACGTGAAGGAACTTCTATTGCCAAAAGTAGTAGCGCATCCAACGCTGCTGCTGATACTCTAAGCAATGGACGAAAAGGAATCGGTAATGCTGCAGCAAACAGCGCATCAAATGCTGTTGCTCTAACTAGTCTAAGAGGAGCTAATACTGTAGTTAAAAAGCTATGGCGAAGAAGGAGAGCAATCAGTGATGCAGCGGCTTCAGGTCAAAGCGGCGCTATTGCTACGAGTAATAAACATAAAGGAATTTCTATTGCCAAAAGTAACAGCGCATCCAACGCTGCTGCTGCTGCTCTGAACAATGTACGTGAAGGAACTTCTATTGTCAAAAGTAGTAGCGCATCCAACGCTGCTGCTGATACTCTAAGCAATGGACGAAAAGGAATCGGTAATGCTGCAGCAAACAGCGCATCAAATGCTGTTGCTCTAACTAGTCTAAGAGGAGCTAATACTGTAGTTAAAAAGCTATGGCGAAGAAGGAGAGCAATCAGTGATGCAGCGGCTTCAGGTCAAAGCGGCGCTATTGCTACGAGTAATAAACATAAAGGAATTTCTATTGCCAAAAGTAACAGCGCATCCAACGCTGCTGCTGCTGCTCTGAACAATGTACGTGAAGGAACTTCTATTGTCAAAAGTAGTAGCGCATCCAACGCTGCTGCTGATACTCTAAGCAATGGACGAAAAGGAATCGGTAATGCTGCAGCAAACAGCGCATCAAATGCTGTTGCTCTAACTAGTCTAAAAGGAGCTAATACTGTAGTTAAAAAGCTATGGCGAAGAAGGAGAGCAATCAGTGATGCAGCAGCTTTAGGTCAAAGCGGCGCTATTGCTACGAGTAATAAACGTAAAGGAATTTCTATTGCCAAAAGTAACAGCGCATCCAACGCTGCTGCTGCTGCTCTGAACAATGTACGTGAAGGAACTTCTATTGTCAAAAGTAGTAGCGCATCCAACGCTGCTGCTGATACTCTAAGCAATGGACGAAAAGGAATCGGTAATGCTGCAGCAAACAGCGCATCAAATGCTGTTGCTCTAACTAGTCTAAGAGGAGCTAATACTGTAGTTAAAAAGCTATGGCGAAGAAGGAGAGCAATCAGTGATGCAGCGGCTTCAGGTCAAAGCGGCGCTACTGCTATGAGTAATGGACGTGAAGGGACTTCTATTGCCAAAAGTAACAGCGCATCCAACGCTGCTGCTGCTGCTCTGAACAATGTACGTGAAGGAACTTCTATTGTCAAAAGTAGTAGCGCATCCAACGCTGCTGCTGATACTCTAAGCAATGGACGAAAAGGAATCGGTAATGCTGCAGCAAACAGCGCATCAAATGCTGTTGCTCTAACTAGTCTAAGAGGAGCTAATACTGTAGTTAAAAAGCTATGGCGAAGAAGGAGAGCAATCAGTGATGCAGCGGCTTCAGGTCAAAGCGGCGCTACTGCTATGAGTAATGGACGTGAAGGGACTTCTATTGCCAAAAGTAACAGCGCATCCAACGCTGCTGCTACTCTAAACAATAAACGAAAAGGAGTCGCTAATGCTGCAGCAAATAGCGCATCTGATGCTGTTGCTATAATAATCTAAAAGGAGCCACTAATGCCGCAGCCAACAATGCATCCTATGCTGCCGCTGCTGCAAGGAGCAGTTAAATCTTAGTTCTTATATCGAGTTTTTTTTTTATAAGGAAAAAGGGAGAGAGACGTTTTTAAGTATGGGATAATAATTATTAAAAATAATTTTGTTTTGTAGAAATATAGATTCAATTAAACTGCATTTTATAAAACATTATATGTCTCTCATAATTTTCCAAGCAATATCTGTATTATAGTAACACTCTTAATTTCAATATTGAAACTCTTATAAATTTTATAACTCTTGAAAATTTTTACGATATAAGAAAAAAAATATTGTCTTATACAATACAATATAATCTTTTGTAGATTTTTTCTTGCAAATAATTTCAAAATTTTTGCATTTATGCTGGTTAATAAATAATAACAAAGAGTCCATTTTAATAATAAAGACTGAATTCTAGTTATGTATAATTTCATACGTATTTTGTTTCACTACATTGTTTACATTATTTTATTCATTAATCATTATTAATGATGGATTGTAAATTGCAATCAGTAAGATTACATTAATAGTCACGGCAGTCAATAAATTTGTCTTGCATTATGTTATATTTCTGAAAGTATCGCACCGTCACGGCGATGACTTTTGCTCCGGTTCGCGTATATTGATAGCTTTATAGTTTTATTATTCACAGCCTTTACTTTCGCGCAAGAGTAAATACATACGAGACTTGCCTGATCCGTCGAACCTGCGCGCTAGAGCATGTTTTATTGAAGCACTTATCGTAGTAGACGTGTTGAATATAAAAATCTTACGATCACTCGAATTTATCGTACGCTGCCGCTTAGACATTCGCCGCTCCGTCATGGTATAGTGCACACAAGCCGATAAAATATTATCGTTGCTATTTATACTTGTCAGAAAAAAAATTGCGTTATTCAATTACCACAGACGCAAGTTGTCGCGTTCGTCAATAATTATTTGCAACGCGGCATTCGAACGCATAGTTTCATTTATCGTTTCTATATCGCGTAGAGAACCGGAGAGAGAAACGGTTCTATCGTAGGTAATCTTATTTATCTTTGTGAAATATCACTCTATGTATCGATAACGTATTATTAAATAAATTTCGATTGCCTTTTGTACACGTTAAAGTTGATGTGTTTATATATTATGTATCTATGTTTGTTTTTCTCATTATGCACTATGCAAATAGAATGTTTATATAAATGTATTTTATGCTTTTAAATACTCGATTCATAATCGAAATGATATATTGTACAATGTGACTAAAAGATGACATACTTTCTAAGTATTAGTCCTTGCCGTAGATAAGTTTCTTAAGAATTTTTGCAAAATTTAAAATTTTAATTAAGTTGATTTAAATTTAATAAAGTTTAACAAACGAAACCAAGTTAAACAATGCGAGTCTGTATGATTAAGGAGATTATTTAGATTGGCTAGTTTAAATACACTATAGAGTATCGTGAAATCGCAGTTTATACCATGCGAATAGAGATGATGAATAAGGCAGAAGTGGAAGCGATACGAGACTTTTCCATTTCCTACAGTCATTCTCTAAATAATGATATTATGGAAGCAGATTATATCGCAATAATATAAATAGGAATACATTAATATAGAGTTATACTTGCATCGTATTCCATTTAACTTTCTCGAAACAAAAATCCTGCGATGAATATACTTTTGTGATAAATGCTTGAATTCAAAATTGAGGACGAAAATTGAGTCCGCAATATGATGATTTAGAATCTTGATAATCGAACCGCGAGATGTTTCTATTTCCAATATTTCGCAATTCGCATTCGGAGCAGACACGATACAATGCCTGGTTATTGGTGGGCGGTAGCAGGGTGTCGTTTATTGCAGGAGTCGCTTCGCTGCAATGATAGCGTCGCGTAATGCTACGGATGAGACTATCTGCGGAACGTAATGCAGCAGAGTACGGATTCGGGTAGGTGTGGAGGATGGGTAGTCAAATGAGTGGGGCACGAATATAGGATGATTATGTCACGGTGTGATGTACGAGGATTGGCAACGTGCCATGCGGTCATCCGACCGCAGCATACAGCATCCTCTCCTTGTATCTCCCATCTTTATTCGATGGTACCTTGATCTCTTATTCCATGAGCTTCTTATCGCTTATAATGATAATCGATATGCCAAAAAATGAATGTTACGTTATCAAACGTTATTAATCACTCGTGTGTGGCATCAATTAATCATTTATATTACAATCATACGCCACATAAAGTTTACAAACATTTGTGTATAATAAAAAGATGGTAATCTTGCATATATCGTGAAAGAAATATGAGATAATTGTAAAGGATGTAGTTAAATATCTCTCTACACGTTGAGATATATAAATATGATAATATTCCCACGCATTCATTTATATACTGCCTCGTACATCTCTCGCCACAAAGAAAGAGCTTGTAGTTTGAAGTGAAAAGTTTGTTAACACACTTTGTGGTTGCAATTCTGGCAACTCTCCCTCCATGGGTGGTGCTGTAAACTTTAAGGCACTGTGACTTCAGGAGGCCCATGTGTGAGTTAGTTTAATGTTCGGTGCAGCTAACCGAATCACTCTCTCGTCCCGATAAGACCTACCGCGGAAGAAATTTTTCGTCATGCTCGCACGAATCGTGGCATGTCGTACCGACGACCAGTTTAATCGAAGCAATGTTCCATTACCGGATAAAATATTACGTGCTTTTTAAATTCTGCAGCAACATCGACAACGTTGACTCCGATGCATTCTTCTTTGTACGATCGCGTTCTGCGTCGAGCAGAAAAAAAAACGAGACAGATAAAATACGGGAAAGAAAAAAAGGATAAGAATCATATATACGGTACGCACAGCACGCATCATGTTGCAAAAGCTATGCAGAGGACAGTTGTGTAACGCTTAGTAGCGTTTGATGTATTTATTACGCAACACTCACGTGGTCTTTTTCACATGCACGTGTGCCCTCGTAACGTGATGTACAAAGTATACATGTAAAATGAAATGTATCTGCGTCGCAAAGTTTGCACAAATCGCTCTGCCATTATATGATGCAATGACTTTAAAATTCATCGATCCAAGCTTGTTAATGAACTTGTGATTCAATGAGAGATCATGTCGTGCGCTTTCTCTGATTCATAAATCAAACTGACAAAAGTACTTGTTCAATGTTCACTTCGATCACAGCTTTTTAAACTTTTTGCACATAATTAACTTTATCTCAGCGAATTCTACCGGAAAAAAAAAGTTATTAGCTAAATCGTCTTTTCCGTCTAACCCTTTCAAGGGTCATAAAAATTCCTTCGAAAAAACAAGAACGAAAGCACGCGGCTCTTACCGTAAATTCCTGTGAATGACACGGATCGTAGGAATTCTTATCCCACGGTCAGAAACCGAGAGAAATTGGTCGTAGACAACGACGAAGCCTGTGACAGTGTCACAGGACTTCGCGGTTTCGGGCGGTGGCAAACGAGCACCTGACGACGTTGCATTCCAGGTTCAAAAACGCTTGTCCTGGATGACTCAACCGGTCGTACAACAAACCACCTGCACGCATAGAAAGAAACCTGCTATGTGCAACATTGGATATTCGATTACCAGCTCCAACCGTGCCTTCTAGGAAGTGCAAAGTTCGTGATTATTTTTTTGCGCTTCATTTAAAAATATTTATTAAAAAACTATATTTTTTTATTCATCAAAACAAAGAAAATTTATACTTACAATTAGTTATAAATATATTACATATATATATTAACATTCTCAATTAGAAACTGACTATTTTTCAAATCTTTGTGCATACTACTAAATTTAATCGCATTTTCACCGCGTATATATTGCATCATTGGATAACATATAATAAATTAATTTAATTGCTTAATTTAATTACTCACGTCGTTACACATTTGAGAAAAGTCGTGTTGAACGATAAGTCGCGCGTCGTAGTATAAATACTGTTCTCGGAGATCGTCGTAACCGGCTGTCACCTGTCAGTACATCTTGCAATCGGCCAGGTAACGACGGTTACACGAGCTTCGCGTGAGATAAGCACCGACGAGAGAGTCCGGAACGTTCGAAACTACACGATACACGCATTTGCGTGCACATGCGCGCATCCAGACTCTCGTAGCAAAAAATCTCCAGGATCAATTTCGAAGTTCTCGGTAGCTCTCGCCCCCGCGTGAGGGCATAATTTAATTTTTCAAGAGCGGCTTTCTCTCTTTTTCTTTCATATAACTAGCTCGCGCAATGATGCGTCGCCGTTGGTTTGTTATGATGGTCGACCGATGGAATAAATGACTGCGCGCTAGACGTACAAAATAAATTATAAAATATGCGCCCGTAAGAGC